CCCTCCTCTATTCCAGTGCTGCAGCTGCTGTCAGTCCCTTTGGCATTTGACAACGGTAATGTTGGCTGCCCGTGTGCCCCCGCTGCGTGTCCCTTGGTTCAGTCCTCCGCCCCCTATATCACTACAGGATACATTGACCTTGGGGTCAGAGGATGGAGCCAAAGCATGCAGCAGGGGACACAAACATCCAATTCCCGAGAAGTGTTGAAGGCTGCAGTGCCGGAAGAGAGGAGAGGCCGGCGGCACGGGCCGGCGGTGAGGCGAGGATAATACCTCTCGTATCGCAGGGAACTTTCACCTTGATTCTTTTTGTCATCGGACCGGGTCACTTTATAAAAGTTTCTTTCTAGTCACCCCCATAAGGACATACGATGGCTGCTCTCCTGACAGGGATTTCTTGCTCACAGAGCCATACCTGGGAACTTGCCGCATCTCATCCGGCAGTACCGGCTTACCATGTGGTTTTCTGGGTTGTGGAATCTCCAGCCTGTATGTCACATATTGTACAGGTTAGAAGGGGCGGTGTGGGTATTGATGGCGGTGGTGTGTGGTGAAAGAGGAGCAGGAATTCCCCACTGAGGTCTAGCCTACAGAAAGGAACTTGCCGGATCTCGTCCGGCAATGGCGGTTTACCATTTCCTGGCTTGCGGAATCTCCAGCCTGTATGTCACATGGGTCACGTGTGGGTTGTGATGGAAGTGGGATGGGGTGAAAGAAGAGCAGGAAGTCCCTCCTGAGGTCATCCTACAGACATATCCCAGCAATTCCCCAGGAAGTGCAGCATCACCCTAAGATATATCCCAACATTCGACATGTCAGCCAGGCGACCAATCAGAAGAGGGCACAGTGAGTGAAGCTGCACCAAAGAGGGACAGGCGGGTGCTGCATTGCCATGTTCATCATACTTCACCCCCCACCCAGAAATCTCCGGCTTGGTCACTTTAGAAAGTTCCCAGGCATGCTGATCCCCAGGTCGGTGCTGACAAGGTGATCACATGACTTTGTCAGAGAACAGACCCGTGTGATTTTGGACCTCAGCAGTCCACATGGTGAATTTTAAGGCTTATTCCATGTTGATGAAGGTAAATCGGTAACTCATAAAATCAGTTTCAGGGAAATCCCTCATTCCTAT